TTTTACATATTTACTTTGTTTGAAAATAGTCCATACATCTGAAAATCCAGTAGTAAAAATAAAGTGATGGAAACATAAAATCTTAATTAGGAAGTTACCATAAATTGAATGCTTAAAGAGAATAGGTTTTGAAAGCCTATTTTTGGGGTTATAAGTGTTCTGTAGTTTGTTTTTTCAATCTAAATGTACAATTATGAAGAAGCAAATCTGGGTTTGTCTTTATTTTCACCTACACATTTTCTGTTTCACCCAAGTATACAATTTACTTGCTACTATCAATACTTTTATGACATAGATATTTTATGAAATAGATGCTTGAAATAACTTTATTTTGAAAAATAATTTTATTTTGGACTTTGTCTTATGGAAAAGTGAGTAGACTGTTTAAGTAAAGGTAACTTCTTGACTAGTTCTTTATGTTCATTCTGACTACTTGCTGTATCATTTTGAGGCTAACAAAGGCTATTCTAAGGGATTTTCATTGGTAAATTGTACCCAATCCATCGTAGAGCCCTGGTCTTGTATCTCTAGACTTTTCTTCCTCCGAACTAAGAGAACCTCTCAAAGGAAGACAATTTGAGTCCCTAAACTGCCATGTTGACTTGGTTTAGTAAAAAAACACAACATTCTTCTGAGAAGCATTAGAGAGACGAAAACACCACCTTAAAAAGTGAAATGTTCAGAAGAGACAAATACTTATATTTTATTAAATGTTCAAATCATCTTCAAATTTAAATAAAAATTATTTAAAAGTGTATAAACTCACATGGAGGATAACTCAAGAAACAATAGATTCACATTTTATATAACAAAGTTTTCCATGATTTTGTAGGAATACTTTTTGACTTACTCTTTTAAATGTACTCTATGTTTAAAACATGGTGTACTATAAAATGTAATCATTCTTCATCCTTGAAGAATATACAAATGATAAACATCAGTGAAAATCTGAGCAAATGAGTGAGGCTTGGAACTTGAACATTAGTACTCCATCGGAACTCATTAAGACTGGAAGATATTTAAAGGTATCAAACACAGGTTCAGGCTAGTGTCCCCCTTCCACCACCCAAAGCAGGGTTACTAGACCTAGAGAATGACCCTCTAAGTTGTTTTTATAAAAACCTAACCCCACCAAATCCCATAGTGGAATTATCACTTGGAGAAGTAATTGTGGACTGTTGGTTTTGTATATGTACTTCTAATTAGGTTGAGGATTATCTTGTATTTCCCTGTTGAGTGTTCCTATCAGGCTGGGTGCTAGAGCTTGTCAAAGGCCTTTTTTGCACTGATCAATCGATAGGATCCTCATGTGCTTCTTTTCCTTTTTTAAAATTTTATTTTAAATCTGTGAGGTTAATTACTTTCCTTTTCTAATGTTGAACTACCCTTGAAGACCTGGGAGACCCCCAGGTTTGCCTGTACTTCCCTTGATTTCATCTAAGCTTTCTTGATCTCTTTCAAGCAACTGAAAATACCTAAATATCATTCTTTTGGATTCCTTGTCAGGGTGTTTCTGTGCCATTTCTTCCTCAAAAGGGGCTCTAGCTTTGCATGGTGGCCACTCGTTTGAGGCAGTCTGTCTTGTTTCTCAGTGTGCATTGAACTTGACTGCTGTCTCTGAGCTATGATGATGGTGTGGCATTTGCATGTAAATGATGATTGCATTTTGGAGTGTTTGTAGGCTCTCACCTGCTGCATTGTGGTGGGTGCAATACGGAATGGGAGTATGTGAGCTGTTCTCGGTTTATGGAGTGTCGTTGAGGGCAGAATTTGGATGGCTGGTTGCAGATCGGGTGGTAAAGGGGCACGTGCAGTTGCCCTCACAAAGTGGGTGTTGTGTAGTTGGTACAAGTGTGGTTCAGCTGTGTGGGAACCATTACTGTCTTCTGTTAGGTGGGGAAGGGAGAAAATAAAATAATAAAGAAAAAACAATAGACACTGGAGAAAACAAGCAAACAGTAAGAAAAAAACCAACATCTTAATAAGTAAAAGTAAATGAAAATTAAAAAGAGAATAAAAATAATAGAGGAGGAAAGAAGACCCCAAGCTATAAACCAGATGAGGGAGGTGGGAAAAAGAAGAGGAAGGGAAAGGAAATTCACAGGGAAAAACAGAGCAAAAGTAAGAGCAGGTAAATTCACTCTCACTGCCA